CAGAATTCTGGGTATTCACTATCAAAGTCTGATCTTCACAACACAGGTATGTGGAAGTGTGGCTCAAACAAAGATTTCTGAGAACCTGTGAAAAACAGTTGTTGAAGCTCACCGGGCTGGAAAGGGTTACAAAACTATTTCCAAAGATTTTGGACTGCACCAGACAACCGTCAGGCAGATCATGTACAAATGAAGGCAGTTCAACACCATTGTTAACCCTCCCCAGGAGTGGTTGACCAACCAAGATCACATCAAGAGCAAGGCGTGTAATACTCTAAGTGGTCTCAAAGAAGCCCAGGGTAACATCTAAGAAACTAAAGGCTTCCCTTGCATTGGCAAATGTCAGTATTCATGAGACCGCCATCAGGAAAACACTGAACAATAATGGTGGGCATGGCAGGGTTTCAAGGAGAAAGTCACTACTCTCCAAAAACAGCATTGCTGCCCATCCACAGTTTGCAAAGAAAACTCTGGATAAGCCAGAAAGCTATTGGAAGAATGTTCTGTGGATGGATGAGACCAAAAGAGAACTTTTTGGCTTGAATGGAAAGGGTTATGTTTGGTGAAAGGCAAACACTGCATTTCAGCATAAGAACCATATCCCATCAGTGAAACATTGTGGTGGCAATTTGGTGGTAGCTTAGGCCTGCTTTGCTGCCTCTGGACCAGGATTGCTTGCCATCATTGACAAATTCTGAATTGTACTAGTAGATCTAGTAGCAGAAGTAGTAGAAATGTTGTGGAAGGACCTGAAGCGGGCAGTTCATGCGAGGAAGCCCAACATCATCTCTAAGTTGAAGCTGTTCTATAAGAAGGAATGGGCTAAAATTCCTCCAAGCCGATATATAGGACTGATCAACAGTCATCAGAAACATTTAGTTGCAGTTATTGCTACTCAAGGGGGGCACACCAGTTTCATAAAGCAAAGATACATATACTTTTGCCACACACAGATCTTTGGATAATTTTCCTCAATAAATAAATAAGTATAATGTTTTTGATTCATTTGTTTAATTGGGTTTTCTGAATTTCTTTCTCTAACTTTCTCTAGTTTTAGGACTTGTGTGGAGAACAGATCACGTTTTAGGTCATATTTATGCAAAAAATATTGAAACTTTTAAAGTATTCACAAGCTTAAGCACCACAGTATATTGAAGTAAAATCTAAGTATAGGTGGTCCTCAGTTAATGACGGTAATTGGGACCAGGAACTCTGTCACTAAGCAATATGGTGGTAAAACACAATGTCACATGACAATGCCAACTTATGATGGCAGTTCCAGTTGCAGTCATTAAGTAAATTCCACATGGTTGTTAAGCACGATGTCAAGTGATTGCCTTTGCGACCTCCTGCCAGCTTCCCCACTGACTTTGCTTGTCAGAAGCCAGCAGTGAAGGTGGCAAATAGCGATCATGTGACTGCAAGATGCTGCAACCGTCATAATCTCGAGCCAGTTGCCAAGTGCCAAATCATGATTATGTGACCGCAGAGACGCTGCAACTGCTGCAACTTTGAAGAGTGGTCGCAAGTCTCCTCATTCAGCACTGTTGTAATTTTGAATAGTCGCTGAATGATTGGTTGTTGACCATGGACTACCTGTGATTGTAATTTGTAGCCCTTATTTCTGTTCCTAGTTTCTGTGGCAATGGACAGTAGTTCCTGACTATCTTCCCTATGGCACCTTTTATGTATCTCAGTGTTGATTTCTCCCACCTTTGCAGTTTCATAATTTCACTTGCAGGATTAGACTATTATAATTTTGCCTTTCAAGAGGCACTTGAAGCACATATGAATGATGAGCAATCAGCAGTAGAGAAACTTGTAAAAAAATTAATTCAGAAATCTTTCAATTTATTTATATATCAGAGTCAGGAATAATATCTGTTGATAAGAAATGAATTTTGGATTACAAATGTATACCACACATACGCTGTTGAGAAATGCATCTTTTTAGTTAATAAAATATTCTATTTTTTCCCCAGAGGTGTTGGTTAGCAGTGCTAAAGCTGATCTGACTTTGCAAGATAAGTGTAAAAACACTGCACTACATCTGGCTTGCAGCAAGGTATGTATGATTTTTTGATTTGAAGCTTCTGTGATGTATTGCTACTTCTGTTCTTGTACTGTAATTCTTGCCTCAAAAATTAAGATGCTCCAGACCAGCAGTGGCACTGCATCATTTCAACTGCAGTAGGAAGTAAATATTTCTTCTCTGCAACTATATGTGGTAAGAGTAGAAGGAATTCTTTCTGATTACTGTTTCTTGGTCATATAGTAACAAGATTATGAGGGAGGAACAGATTTTTAACAGGGATCTAGGGCTTTAATTTTTTTTTCCTGACCCATTCTATTTATATAACAGTTCTATTTCTATAAAACTTACCCATGCACTGGATTTGGCAAAAGGAAAAACAGGGTGACACCTCAATGAGAAGAAGGGAGAGACTTTTTAGAAACAGGAAATATAGCAACTAGTGTAAAGGCAAGTGAAGTATAAATACTTCCATGTAGAATATTCAGAAATCTTCAGCTAGCTGTGAACACGGTTTAGTAGACTATCTAATGGACCACATTATTTCTTATTTGTCAATAAAACTCCATCTTTAAATTACAACTATCCTTTCCTTGTGTGTCTAAATGTATTTGTTATGGATCGTTTCAAGACTAGAAGCTGGAATTTGCCAAGCCTTGAATAAATATTTTTTGAAGAGAAATAATATACCAATCCTTCCTTTTCTCCTTTCTTTAGGGTCATGAAACTAGTGCCTTGTTAATACTAGAGAAGATTACAGATAGAAATCTCATCAATGCCACCAACACAGCATTGCAGACGTAAGAAAAGACTATATAGCAGAGTCACAATACTACACCATATTTTTGTATTGAAATATTAACCTTGGTTCATGTGCTCTCTGTCTCATAGCTGAGACCAGAAGATTCTACCTTTCTTTTGGATTAATCATAATTTTGTGTCATCTAAGCCATAAATGAGTTAATATTAACTATTGTTTGTAAAGAGACTAATAATCTATGGATTTAAGTTTTTTTTTTCAGTGTCATTAAACCTGAGCAGTTTGTGTAGTACAAATAATGATAACAAGCAATGATTAATCATAAACATTTAGATACAAGGAGCCTGAGATCCAAAGATCTGTCTAATTTAATGCAATATAGAATCACTATTTACATCTTCTCACTATTTAATTCTATAGATATGTAACAAGCTGTTTACATATCTGGTTCATGTATATTTTTATTTATTATTTATTTGCTACAAATGCTTTTATGCTTCAATCATACAGTCATTTTTAGATAATTTATTCTAATTGAAAATTGTTCAAATACTTTAGATTTTTTTTCTTACTCTAGAAATCTTGGGATTTCTTTTTATTACATTTTGCATCCAAATTTCTAGTGCTAAGGATTAAAAATATATATATATTAGCTGTAAAATATTTTGCAGATTGAACCTTGTGTATATTGTTGTTGTTTTTTCTATAATGTTTTCATACTTTGTGGGTTTTTTCTACAGGCCTTTACATGTTGCTGCACGAAATGGATTAACAGTTGTAGTTCAAGAACTTCTGGGGAAAGGAGCAAGTGTACTTGCAGTAGATGAAAATGGTAAATGGATGAAAACAGGGTGAATTCTAATCTAATCATAGCAAGCCAAATGCCCCTTAGAGGTCTACTTTGAGGCACACTGTTTTTAAATGTGGAGGCTTGATTTAGTCATTATGACAATTGAGATTCAACCATGAATTTAATGGCTCCTTTGATGGTTGCTGTAAAGTGGGTGTAGAAAATATACTGCAAATCTTTTCTTTAATATTTATAGTTATACAGATGATGTTCCTTTAAAAAGATGCTGAACAAGTCCATGCCAACCTATAGACATTTTCCCATTGCTTTAACAATAATACATGGAGATCTACAAATAAATCTTAACAAGTATGTGTTCCTCAAAGCTGGGTGTGGGGGAATTGGCATTTGAGAAGGTTGCTTATCAGCATCCCATTACAAGTGCACCCTGTGTTATTTATTTTGGAATTTGATCTGGAGAAATATATTACAATTGACCTGATAAAAATTGGTGGGTGGACTAAATACTCGTACAACCTACAGATTTTTTTTCCTGTCTCCCTCTCCCTACATTTGTTTTAGAGGCAAACAACATGATATCCTGTAAAGCAAGAGCAGGCAAATATTAGATGTCTAGAGGGATGTTTTATGGCTCACAAGATATATACTTTTAGCATTTCACAAAATGTCATGAAATTGTATCACCAGTTTTCAGTAGAATTGGCTCTAGTGGCCACCAATAAGGTGTTCAGGCTATTATATTATCTATTGGGCTATTATATTATCTTTTATTTAGTGGATTTAATTCTTTAGCTATTAACCAAATTGTCAAAGAAAGAATTGTTCCTAGTAACATGGCTTAGTTGTAACATAGACTATATATGTTCTGACATTGGCTGTTAAAAGTTCTGATTCATTTGTTTTTTACTAATTTGGGGGATATGGTGCTAATGTTTTTCAGAGGTTTGGGCTGATTATTATTTAAGTTGACCAAAATTACAATGCAGTCAGAATAATTATATATTTGTTTTTAAGCATAAAAAAGTTGCACCTTGCTTTTACATCCATTGACAGGACTGAAAAAAAATAGAAGAAAATAAAATTACCACTTTTCTTTTGACTCTAGGTTACACACCAGCTTTAGCCTGTGCTCCCAATAAAGATGTGGCTGATTGCTTAGCTCTTATTCTGGCTACAATGATGCCTGTTTCATCAAGCAGCACAATACCTTCCCTTACATTTAATGCCATTAATCATTATACCAACACTTCAAAAACAGTCACCTTTGATTCTTTACCAATTATCAGGAGTGAACATAGCTCTTACTGTAGTTTCAACAACATTGGGAGGGAAGATGGCTATCCATATACAGAAGAAGATGAACTTAATGACTCAGATTCTGAAACCTATTAAAAAGCTCCATTAGAGATCTGAAGGATGAACTCAGTTGCTGAATTTCCAGATTGTTATTGGAGAAAGCAGTCTTGCTGAATATAAAAAAGGACGGCCTGAGGAAAAGATTTTTTTTAACAAAAGTGTGGGGGTACATGAAAAATATGTGACTCCCAAGAGACTTTTAAAAGCAGGTTATGCAAAAGAAATGCTTGGAATCTATGGTGCAAAAAGTTACCTAGAATGTTATTTAATTGCAGTGTATTGGTTTCAATGAATAATCCCAATAAGGCTGTGCATCTTTGTATAAACAAATATGCGGTTATACAGCAGAATGGACAATATATTCAAATCTTACCAATAAAACTAAGATCATTTTGAAGGCAATAATTGAGTTTGGTACAGAAGGCATTGTTTGTGCAGCAAATTGCCAAAGGACCAAATAACTTAAGACTTTTTTAATTAAAGAAAACATTTTTGAGAACACTTGAATAGCTTAAATAATAATAGTCTTAACCAACCCTTAAATTACAACTAGCAATTAATCTTAGATTGGTTTTAAATGTTGATTTGTTTTTAATCATCTGATAGCCTTCCGACGCTATTAAATGTACCATAAAAATGCAGTTTTCAATTTGTCAGAGTCTTACGGTATTAAAGCTGTTACTAGCTTAATCAGGAGTTGTCAGGGTAAAATGAGTACAAAAGCAGCAATGTAGTAATCACTGCCCAGGTTTATTTTATTTACCACACATACACACACACACACACACATACACATGGGGATACACACACACACACACACACACACACAAACACACAGAGGGTAATTCTCTGGGTAAGTCAAACTGCATCAAAAATAGAACTGCAATATCCTGATGACCCTGTTAGGCTGCCTTACAGAACACTATTTCTTACAGTTCACCCAAGGTTTTACATAATATAGCGAATGATATTTGTGCCTCTATGGTGTACATATAATTTTAAAAAATGGTTTTTAAGGCTTAGAATATGGCTGAAGAGGATATAATAAAATATTGTTTCCCTGTTACCAAAAAGGTACAATGTCGGATCTTTGGGAACATATAGAAGTGCTTCATTTTACAGTTTTTGAAATGTTGCAGATCCTTCTGTTACAGTTTAAAACTTTCCCTGTGTTTGTCTAATTTATAATAGGCTACTGTAAAAAATAAAAATGGAAGAATGGCATTTTTTCCCTCAAACTTAAGCTGGTTTGTTAAAATAGAAGTATTTACTTTATTTGGTTCTGCTTTAATTGAAAAACAACAGTATAATTATTACTTGCTTTGGTTATGTACATGCGAGAGTATCTTGCATGATGAGGTTAAACTCAATTGAATTGCTATAAACTGGTCCCTACCTTCTTTTATCCTTTTTGTATTGTGAAACTGGAAACTTTAATGCCATTGCAAAGTATCAGCTTGTTTTCTGAACATAGTGTGAAAACACAGGACAGTATTTTGATCTATTTGATAATTTTGTGGGTTTTTTGAAGAATTAATGAGCATGTACATAGAAATAGCAGTTGCTTGAATACTGTATTTACCTGCACTCTTTCAGTACATCAAGATTCCTGTGTATATTTTACAGAGTATAATAAAATCCAGATGTGAGAGTTGTATTTAATGAATAATTTATGTATCAGTATGGAATATTAAGAGTTCATTCAAGTTTATTTTATTGAAACCTCAGATTTATAAATCTTATTGTGCAATACCTTTTAGTTCTCTTGATTCTAAAGCAATAATTAGCTTAACAAGTATCTGAATAATTCAGATATTTAAATGTATATTTTAGAGGCCTCTTTATCTTTTTATTTTAACTGGAGATTCATTGGATTTAATTATTGAAAGAATCAGGTATCATTGTTATTGGGCAGTTGAAAATCCTGAAAGTCTGAGGTTTCCTTTTCTGTATCACTTTATATAATGTCTAAGATGGAATAGATATAAAAGTCTAGTGATGAATTAGCTGGGTATCAACATGTTCTTCATATGACTTTCTTTTTACATCAAAATTAACCTTGAAAGTATTGTTTGTTTTATGAGTGAAGCTACCAAGTTTTGGAACATTTGAAGTGATAATGAACAATGAGGCATTTAGTTACTTTTTTTACTCAGTAGTGAAATCAGTTGATTTCTCTTGTATTTTTCTCAGGTTCTTTCATTTGTTCATTTAGGCAGGTGAATGAAAGCACAGTAAAACAGAAAAGTCATGTTTATCCTATTTGAATAATATCCATCAAAGGAATCCCCAGATAGCCTCCACTGATCGATATATCAGCAATTAGCAACAAAATAAAATATATGTTAGCCAATTTTAAAAAGATAGAGTTCTATTCAGATCCTTATATACTACCCAGAGTGGCTAAAATCTGTTAAAACTGATAAATAATTTATTCCTTATTTCTTCATTTAGATCTTCAATAAAAAGCAAAAAAACATCGAAGAGGATACCAACTTTATATCCCAGATACTTAATTCCCCTAACTGAAATACTGTGAAGGCCCTTCTTCTGGCCCAACACAGTTAGGACGTAGTACCTTCTTGTTAGCTTTTGGAGTCAGGTACAAAGGAGGTAGACCCAAGATATCATGGCTCCCAAATGCTTTGATAATTTAGAAGGTTATATCCAACACACAATGCAGACATAAAATCATTCTGGAACCAGTGAAACTAAGAGAAGAGTAATGAATGCAGTATTTGCATAGGATAAAAAGAATCACCATATTCCAAAATTAATACCAGTCCTGCTGTTTCACCATATGTTAATACAAAAGTAAAAAAGAGACACTATTTTGCATTATTTTCACATCAATCTGTATGAAACAATTCAAAACAATCATGTCATATGAGATATAGTTCTTCATATTGGGGATGAACAAGTCTTAGGCCTGAAGTCCTAGGCAAATCTTCCCCCAAACTCAACCTTTTCATCTGAAATACAAATACACTGTTACTCTTTGGCCACTACATCAACAGCTTATAGTCCAGCTTATATCACAAGTTGCCAATAATGCATTGTTTTTAGTTTCAGTTCTAGGGGATCAACTCAAGTCAGTTTCCTACCTAAAGTCAGAATGTAATGTCAGAGCAAAGGGGATTGAACAGAAGATGACACAGCATTTCAGTTCAAATATGCTTATATAGTAAGAGGCCTTAAGCACTTTTCTATAATGAATTGGATATAAAATAAAAGCAGAGATTACACTCAACGCTTGATATAGTGCAATATAGTCTCCTATGAGTCAGACCTGTTCAAAAAAATGTTAAAAGTTTCTTTTAGTCCTGAGAAATCTCAGTTGTGTTTAACTTGTACACCTAGGAAATGGTGATTCTATATCCCTCCCTCTGCAAACCCCACAATCTGAGTTCTCAGAAAATAAAAGAGTTATCACTAAATATTGCAATAATTTGAGGACAGCTTTATTTGGATTTTCTATAAAAGTGAATGAACCAATTATGAGAATTCAGTAGAAGAAGGGTTGCTTTTTCGTGAGATGGGTGGTATCTAAATTTGAAAAATAAATAAATAAATAACATATAAGTCCCTAAAATTCTTGGTAGAACCTTGAATGTCTGGGTCTCTGAATGGAAATCTGAAGGGGAAGGAATGTTCAAATGTGAAGTGTCTTCAGGCTTTCCAATTTTTTCCAAAACAAAAAAATAGATTTTTTTTTATATAATACTAGCAAATTACTATGAGTTTCTTCATTTGCTCCCAACTTTTACTTGTTTTATTAGTAGTTGTATTTGCAGTGTTTTCTTTTATTTAATCCTGAGGTCTGTACATTAAGGATATCATTCAGGAGGATTGCACCAAAATTCAGTGAAGTGTTTTAAGCCATAAAACCACTGAAATCCATCTGTTTTAATATAAGAGAATTTTTCATAGTCCAATTAATCTATTTGCTTGATTACAGGTCAAGTATTAGTTCACTTTCTCCCCAGAGTTCTCTTGTGCTGCCTCATCATGATGAGAGGATATTCCTAGGAGGGATGAGTGAAGAACACTGAGAGTCGGCATGAAGATCTTCCCAGCTGCCCAGCTAAAGCAAGCGGATACTTATATTGGGCAGGAGTGATATAGGAAGATGCTGGAAGTGGATGATTACTTTAGTGACAATGGCAAGGGCATCATTTCATATTGTGCAGGAGATTGCAATGGTAAACCACTCTTGTATTTTACCAAGAAAACCACATGGAGAGACATCATGAAGTGATTGATGATATAGTGCCAGATGATGGGCCCCTCAGGTTGGATGTCACTGAACATGCTACCGAGAAAAAGCTGAGGTTCTTTTGGAATACTAATGGTGTTTATGACATGCCTAGAATAAAGCCTTCAGGATATCTAGTTGCTAATGTTGCCAAGCAGGAAAAGAAAATCCAAAGCTGCAAAGACAGAAATAAACCAGGAACATGGCATGTAAAAAGCATGAACATAGGAGAGCTCAACACAGATATAAAATGAATTGACTACATGTTGACATTTTAGGCATTAGCAAATTGAAATGGACTGGAATTGGACACGTTAAGTCAGAAGATCATATTGTTTACTACCAAGGGCCCAAATAACAAGGAATGGTCAGGAAGGATATAGCAAGAATAATATTTGGTTACAATGCAATCAGTGACTGAGTAATTTCATGGAAAACCTTTTAATATGATTATCCAAGTTTATGTTCTAACCACTGATGCAGAAGAAGAGGAAGTTGATGAGTTTATGGTCATGTTCAATTTGAAATCATCAGAACATACAAGCAAGATGTGCTCTTTAGTGTTGGAGACTGGAATACCAAACTTAGAAATATTAAAGACTAGTTTGACTAAATTTGGCCAAGGAAACCAAAATGAAGCAGGAGAATAACTTGCCAGTTTCCATCAATCCAGTGATTTCTTCATGGTTAACATTGTCTTTCAACAATCAGAACAACATCTTTGCAAAATGTGGCCAAGGACTGACTGTGCAACAGATCCCAAATGGTTCATGTGCAAGTTCCAAGTTAAGCTAAAGGGGAAGGTGAAAGCCAACACGTTTCCATGATAAGATCGTAATCATAAAGACCAAGAAACAGCAGAAAGCTAACTGGATGTCAGAATAAATGGAGGAAATTGCTTAAAAAAGGAAGAGAAGCTAAAGCCAAGAAAGACAAAGATCTCAGGAAACAAAAGACTTTCAGAGAGCTGTTAGAACAGACAAGAAGCCATATTAACAACATCTGTAAAGACAGTGAAGGTGGAAACACCCATGGAAAAAACAAGATCTCCAAAACTCAGAAGGAAGTTCCAGCTTCAGACTGGTATGCTAAGGATGCCAATTGACTGATTCCAAGAAGATCAGACAAAGAGGGAAGGAGAATACTGAAATTCTGTACAATAGAGATGTCAGCATCCAAGATAACAGAGAATATTTCCTACTTACAAGAACCTCTAGTGCTAGAAGATGAAGTTAGATCAGCCCTCTGTCATTACCAAGTCATAAGGCTACAGGAACTGATGGAATGCCACAGAAATATGACAAGCAACAGAAGAAGAATTGGTTAAGGTTCTAACCAAGTTGTGCCAGCAAATCTGGATAATGACACATTGGCCAACAGATTGGAAGAGATCAGTCTCTAAACAAATACCAAAGGAAGGAAAGTTGTGCAAACTATTGTACAATATCTTTAATTTCATGCTTAGGCTCATGCAGATTAGAACCATTCATAGGAAGATGTCAGATGTTCAGGCTGGCTTTACAAAAGCCCCAGGAACAAGAGGCATTACTGCTGATGCACATTGGATAATTAAGAAAGCCAAAGAATAACAATACAGAAGGGCCTTTAATTTTGTTGTTTGGGTCAAGCTGTGGAAAGTGCTTAGAAAAATGGAAATCCCAGAACTTCCACAGTCGGAAGAGAACATGGTGAAACAGACTGGCTCCAGACTGGCAAAAGAGTGTGACAAGGCTGTACACTGGCCCTTTATATATTCAAGATACATGCAGAATATATATTGAGGGAAGTTGGATTGGAAGATGAGCATGGTTTCAAAATTGGAGAAAGAAATATTAATAACCTACATTATGCTAATGACACTACTCTCATAGCTGAAAATGAAATTACAGTATGTGTAGCCTTAGTAATGAAAGTCAAGGAACACAGCAAAAAAAAAAAATGGGACTAAGATTAGATATAAATAAGACCAAAGTACAGCAACCAAGCCTTAGAATTGACAATGAAAATACTGAGTGGTGGATAGCTTCTGCCTTTTAAGATCAACTATCAACAATAAAGAAACCACAATCAAGAAATACACTGCAGATTAGCACGTGGTAGAGTAACAATGAAAGGCTTAAAAATATATTCAGATGCTGAGATGTGTCTATAACTACAAAGATCAATATAGTGCAGGCAGTGGTTGTCAGTCCTATAAGGTAGACCTGACCAAGAAACCAATGTCATATAGGTCTAAAATTACTTTAACTGGAACAACTATAGTAACAGAATCTTGCAAGTCTGAATGTGCCTCTCCCCCCCAATTTATCTTCATGTAAATTAGGGAGGGGCTTGTCAGACATTTTCTCAAATTAGTTTTTTGGAAGGGACTCAAGCTCTACTTGTCTGATCATTGCCTTGGTAGCAGCTCTTCCTCCTGCCTTCAAGGCTAGTCCCTATTCTCTCTACAGTGATATTCCCTACAACACTATGGAAGTGAAAGTTGGACTTTGAAGCAACAGGACAGAAAGAATGTTGATACTTTCGAATTTTGGAGTTGGAGAAGATTCCTAATACTGTGGGTAGCTAAGAAAGCAAGCAAGGGATCATTGAACAAATTTCACTTGCACAAATTACCAGGCTCAAATTATCAGACTTTGGACATATTATGTGAAGACCTAGCTCTCTGGAGAAAGTTTTAATGCTGGGAAATATGGAAGGAAAGAGAACAAGAAGACCAATGGCATAGTGGATGGACTCAATTACGACAGTAAGGGGCACTGTTGGAAGACCTGAAGGACCAGGTTGGGGATAGATCGTCCTGGAGAACATCTGTGTGATTGCTCAAGAGTCAAAACCGACTTGATGGCATTTAATTGTTTCAATTTATGTGTAAATTGAGCAGTGAAGATTGTGAAGTTGGATACTCCTCCCTTCATTTCTTATCAAACATAGGAGTTTATGTTGATTCTTTCTGTTGCAGCGGCATCCCTGTCCCTTTCAGGGCAAGGGGTAAACAACAAACATTGGAAAGTGTGAAGACAAGCATTGACAATGAGGGAGAAGCACTTGAAGAAGATTGGTGATTATCCCAAAGGCACAGCATTCCTAATTGCAATACAGTAGTTGATTCCCTCCCTTTCCTAAGCTTGAAGGCTACAGAAATGGGCAGTTTGGAGTTTCCTGGATTTGTACCAAAGATATATTTGCTTCCAAATGTATGATGTGAGAGATGGCACATTCTGCTAAACTGAGGACATACTTGTGAATAATTCTAAAAGACAGACACCTTAATGAAATAAACTTTAAGCTATATTCCAAGTTTGTGTGTGTGTGCACGCACACGCATGTGTATGTGTGTACAGTAGAAGTCCAAAGGCTCTGAATAATCACATCACAGAATATCAGTCCCCATTTATTAGGTTCTTGCATTAATAATCTTGAGACATTATTTGTTTGGTATCAAATGCTAATTTTTGTCCCTCTCATACCAACGTCCATATAGGCCAGCTGTTATTAAACCAGAAGATCCTCCCGTTTTGTACATGACATAGGAATTCTTTTCCCAGCCCAAATGGTCAGCAAAGTCTAGAGTGACACCAGATCTTAACAAAAGAGGAAAGATAAAAGTAGTACTGAAATTCCCTTGGAGCTGAAAATCTATCAACCCAGCCGCCTCTGTGATTTCTTGCCCACAGGTAGTATAGTTAAGTCCACCACATTTCACTAACACACAGGCTTGAATGTAGTATGTTCCATGCACTGTATGTAAATCATCAAAAACTCCTAAAACATACAGTTCATTTGTTTTTTCTAATCGTTTGTAGATTAAATTACAACAAAGTGTATTGGAACAAACTTCAATATTTCCTTCTGCATTTAGTATGGGCATTAAGGTGAAATTATCATACATCATTATTTCATAAAATACAGGTGGAAGTTCTTGGGATGGTTTTTCTGCTATTTCACAGTCAGTTTCTTGATCCTTATGGCAAATCTGTTTCTCCATAAAAAAGTCTGAAAAACTCTTTTGACTATTGTAGGACATTGCATTGTTTTCTATATTAGCTTCATGATCTGATGTCATAACTGGGATTTCTACGACTATAAGCTTACCATCAATGCTTTCCATATCATAATAAATAAAAGATTTTGATGGTGTATATATACCACTGCCTGTCATACCCAAGTCAGGATGATGGATATTTGCTGCCAAAAGATTTATTTTAAAAGCAGTTGCAAAAGCTCGTTGAAATTCTACAGCAGACAGAAGTGGGAGTTGGTTCATCCATGCAGTGGGATATGCAACCTGGGTTATGTTGTATTGCTTTATAAGGGTCACAGTTGGCTCATAAAATAGGATATCAAAGCAAGTAAAGATGCCAAATTTGCCTGCAAAAGGTGTATCAAAAATTGTGTAATCTATTTCTGGTGGAGTATTAAAGGAATATTCAAAATATAGGTTTTGTTTTCGGTATCTGGCTATGAGTGTGCCATTGTCACTAAATACTACATTGGTATTAAACTGGTATCTTCCATCTGGTGGGCAGTGGGGATCACTTTGTGTGCAGGGCTCTTTAGTTCCTAAATTTACAACTAAAAACATTTGATTCTTCAGTGCCATACAGCTGAGTCGATGGAGAACCTGTAAAAGCAAAATACTTTTTAAATATTAAATTGGAATGCTATGTTGTTGTAAAAAGAAGAAAGGCGCTGAACTACAGAATTGTGTCAACTGGCTACTGAATTATTTACCACAATTGTAACTTTTAAGTGATTTTTAGTTGGAAGAGTTCATTAGGAAAATATAGGAAATAAAATAATACCTCAGTGTCATTGAATAAGTAAAATTCTTTGCATGGATTCCATATCAGACAGTCCAGGTTTGGAATGAAATCCAAGTAAGGATAAATGGATGCCCTTGTGAAGTTGAAACCCTGAATTCCATCTTCAGGAAAGATAATTATTTGTGCCCCCTAATAGTAAATAAAAATATTTATCAGCCAAAGGACAATGGTGGTACAAAATGTGTTCTCTGTTAAATAGTTATGGTTTAATGCACATAATTTCTTTCATTTAAAAAATAATTTCATAATTGATGGAGCATGGACAAATTAATAGATCATATTTGTGTTTCAATGGAAACTACATGGAAATTATGACTGAAATACTCTTTAATTTTTGCTTGGCAAATTAAACTAATTAAGTATTTCACAGGATTTGAGAATTTACTCCAGAATTATTATTAACTGACAAAGGATTCAACTGGTTTGGAAGAAAATATGTTTTGGAAATGAACCACTCTGTTATGCAGACACAGAACACAACCATTCCTTCTTCAGGCACTTTGCAGGATATGCGTAAGCAACAAACTCTTACAGAAACGTTTAGTGGATCTTGTGTAGTGTCACATTTTAGTTAATCTAAAAAAAATTAAAGGTGATCTAAGATTCTAGGAGGTCATAAAAGAAGCCAACATGGTAGTTTTGCAGCCCAAATACCTGAAGCCTATGTTTCCTTAATGACTACTGGTTTATTATGATTATACAACAGAAGCTAGTCCATTCACTGTAATTTATGTCTCTGCCAATTTAGTGTGTTGCAATAAGGTGGTTATTTTTTCTTTAATTCTTTAAGTTTCCAAAGGTAGTCAAATGTTATCTTAAAAATGGCAAAGACTAATGTTCTACCTGTTTCGCTGCATTAATAACTTGCTCTTCATAAATATCTAGATTTCTCTTCATCAATTGTAATGCAGTGTGTCGATCAATGATAGCCGCTGGACTGGGATTCAAGATGATGTGATGCTCATACACAGCAGCAACATAATGCCTTCCTTTGTGAATATCTATGGAAAGAACTTGGTGACCAAGAACAAAAAATATGATGCTTGCCATGAACCTAAAATGAAAGCAGATGAATATGACCATGACCAATAACATCCTAGATTCTCTAGTCTTTCTCAGCTCCCAGAAATCTGGGAATTTCAGGTCAATCTCAAATTAAATGCTAGTTATTGGAGAGAAGTAGCTAGTCATTAACCTTGATCTATTTTTTAAAAATTAAACAAATCATAATTTGTTATAACCCCAATTCCAAAGAGAATCTAAAGTTGCAACCAACAATG